TAAACTGGCCACTTTCATATATAAAAAGGGGAGTGAACAAAGTTAAGATTAACTTTGTACACCCTACAGGCTCAATATCAGCCTTCAGTGCTACAAAACAGTGAACCAACAGTCTGGTTCATAGGAGCCAGAGCTAGTGGGGAATGTAGCTGCTGAGGATTCCATTTTGATAAAGGCACCATTTTTACAAGACTGTGGCCATCCCTCAGCAACCTGAAGCTTTTAAGACAATTCCAGGAATTTTATACCCTTTAAATTATTCCACAAATGAAAAAGACCCTGGGATTTATCCCACACCCACAGAAGTGTATGTCTGCAGCAATGAATTGTGGTTTTTGCCTTTAAAGTTCTCCTCCCCTTTTAGCTGGGTCACAGTCCCATCAAGGGGGCTGTGGTCAGCTGCAGCTTAAATTAATCGGCTGATTAAAGTCTTGATAGAGTCTGAGTGGTCTTTTGGGGATCTTGAACTCCACAAGATTACTGTGAATCATCTTATGAATGGATTATAGCAGTAATATTTTCTTTATTAATCTAGAAATTATGCTCTATTATAGTTTTGTATGTTTATATGACTGTACCCTATCTATGTAGTTACTTTGCTTTAAAAATGGAAAATGTATTACTATCCCAAAATATTAGCTCTAGTGAATTTTTGTGATGTTAAAAATTTACTATTTTTCTGTTGAGAACTATGTCTAGATTTTCTTCTTTAACTTGGAAGGATGCAGTTGTGGTTTGATTCAGTTATTTTTCAGAAAAATCATCTCTTAAGTTCTTCATGGGTTTTATTTTTCTTCTCTGAATAAGTTGGAATAGGCAGAATCAATGTAAGTGCCAGCTTTTGTAAAATGAAATAATGTATTAATTTATCAGCTTCTAATTAGTGCTTCAGAAGCAATGCTTCTACCAACCTCAGCTCTCCTAGTCCTCAGTAGTGCAGCCCTGTGATGGGCAGCCTTGTCCTTTTTTTGTTTTTGGTTTTTCAAGACAGGGTTTCTCTGTGGCTTTGGAGGCTGTCCTGGAACTAGCTCTTGTAGAGCAGGCTGGTCTAGAACTCACAGAGATCCGCCTGCCTTTGCCTCCTGAGTGCTGGGATTAAAGGCGTGTGCCACCAACTCCTTGTCCTTTCTAAGCCAGAGGATTCACAACATAATCTAGAAGACTTGAGAGTCGGGTCGAAATAGCAACTCTGTTTTTGAAAAAGTCTCAATTCATTTGACATCTGTAACCTTTGATTTTCTTACCTATTAGTGAGAAAGTTAATATAAGTATTTTCACTTTCTTTGTGGTTATTAGTTGAGTTCCATACTTTAAATATTAAAAGCCTTTTGTCTTACCACCAATCTACTAAAATGAACCAAATAGAAACTCTTTAATTCATTACAACAAACAAAAAAATTTCGGAAATTAATCCATGGAAGGAAGTTCTTTTGGAAGCAGGATGCATAGTTGAAATTTATCTTCAAAGGCTCTGTACAATGAAACCTATTGACTTGGGCATCTTCACATTGGTGTTCCGGGACTATAGACAGCAGGAAATGGCTGGCAGCCTCCAGGACAAGGATTTTATCCCAGGAAATTCTATGTCACTTTCCATCCATCTTCTACTTCTTTTCTCATGACCAGCAGTGTCCTCATATGAAACTATTGTAGCATACTCCTTGTCATTATAAAAATATCAGAGATAATCAAATTATAAAGAGAAAGCATTAATTTTTGACTCAGAGTTGTAGGGGATACAGTTCATGATTCATTGGCTCCATTACTTTTATGCCGAGGTTGAGGTCGGTTAAAACTGGGAGCACATAACTATTTACTTCTGGGTCAAGAAAGGAAAGGTGACAGAAGAAGGGATCCTAAAAATTCCTTCAAGATCACACTTCTAGTGCTTAAGAATTTCCCACTCAATGCTGACTGTTCAAGTTGCCACAGCCTTCCAATACCGACTTTCTGGTGATTAAGTTTCCAAAACAAGCTGTTGGAAGATACTTAAGATTCAGGCTATAAGAGAAGTTTCTGCAGGAGATTCTAGATCATCTTTCAGTACATGCTTGAAACATCACTCAACTCCTTTTATCTACACCAGCTTTCAACCAATATGCAACTTCCTTCCAGTCACGGAATTACCCATTTTGGAAATATAGCTAAGTGTGACCTTAAGAGCTTGTCTTACGGGCATCTAGAACTTATGAAGGAAGAGAAAAGTATGATGATTTCTGCTGGTAATACTAGCACTAAGGATGCTGAGGAAGGAGGATTCCTTTGAAATTTCCAGGTCAACCTGGGCAGTGTAGTTAGTTCCAGTCTAGACTACAGAGAGAGACTCTGTCTCAAAAACCAAACCAAAACAAACAAACAAACAAAAAAAAACAATAACACCAAGAACATAAGAACAAAACAAAAGTTAGAAAGGAAGATACTTTCTGATTTTATATTAAAATGAGATCAAATTTGAGGTGAGTGTACAAAGTGGTTATTTTTTTTCTGAAATTTCATATCCATGTTATTTTCACTTGTGAGTGAACCTAACCTCTGAAACAAATTAGATGGGAGAAATGGGGGTCAGAAACCTCAAGTTCTTAAGCAAACTGTAGTCCTTGGTACATTATAACTAATCCACTCTTAAGGCCTTTGGACTATTAATGGAAGAATCTGTCAATCCATTTTTGTTTTATTCCAGGTTTTTGCCCACATGGCTATGAGGAATGTCAGAATGGCAGATGCTACAGTCCAGAGCAAAGCTGCAATTTTGCAGATGACTGTGGGGATAACACTGATGAAAATGAGTGTGGTAGCTCCTGCACTTTTGAGAAAGGTTGGTGTGGCTGGAAGAACTCCCTAGCTGAAAATTCAGATTGGGTTTCAGGAATTGGCTCTCATAAAAGCCAACGACCCCCAAAAGACCACACACTTGGAAATGAACATGGTAAGTTATTAGGTTGTTGTTATTACCCTATTTATGTTCTTTATTTAATTTTTTTCATTTTACATACTAGCCCCAGTTTCCCCTCCCCCACCTCCCCACCATTCCCCACCCCCATCCACTCCTCAGAAGACATAAGGTCTTCTCCATTGGAGAGTCAACAAAGTCTGGTATAACAAGTTGAGGCAGGACCTAGCCCCTCCCCCCATGCATTCAGGCTGAGCAAGGTATCCCACCATAGGGAATGGGCTCCAAAAAGCTAGTTCATGTACCCAGAACAATTCCTGACCCCACTACCAGCACCCCACCTAACAGGTCAAGGCACATAACTGTCAACTACATTCAGAGGGCTTGGTTCAGTCCCAATCAGGATCCCCAGCTGTTTAAGTTCTTAAAGTCCACCTCATTATCATCAGCAGCAGCTGAAGAGACAATAGCAGAGAGACTGCTGTTTAGCCATTTAGCATGTGTGTTTATATCCTAGGACAGCTGTACCAAAACACCTAGAACAGGTGGCTGAGACCATGGACACTACTACTGTCTTAGTTTTGGAAGTCAGAAATTCAAGATAAAGCTGGTGCAGTACTGGGGTTCCTTCTGAGTGTTGTGAAGAAGAAACAAGTCTTCCATGCCCCTCCCTCAGAGCTCCAATAGCCTCACAAGTTCCCCACTTACAGATGATAGCTTGCCATGCTCCATCAGGTCAGCTCCTCTTGTGTATGGCATAGTATTTTCCATAGTTCTTTTTTTGTTAGATCCCAGGTATATTGACTAGTGTCCACTTTAATAACATCACCTTTACCCATTTCACCAGATAAGTAAATAGTAAAATTTCCAAACAGTGATCATGATAAGGATAGGTAATTGAATTAGGGGCTGGGAGATGGCAGAGGCAAATCAGCCCATAATGACAGTCACAATTTTGCATTAATTTCAGTTTCAGTAACTGTAGTTAAATGATAGTACTTGCTTCCATCCAACAACTTTCCTAAGAAGAACATACTCATCTGTAATTGATTACCCTGAATTTGGACACTCATTTGATCATTAGCAAATTGCTTGGTTTTTCACAAGCTCGGCTTCAGAGTTTATTAGGTGGAGACTGTGAAGTTTGCTCAGTATATGTAACACAGGTTGTGTGGTTGAATGGTATGAAGCCTGTAGGTAATGAGATTAAACCTTATTGAGAAATTGTGAAAATATAACTGTAAAACTACGTCTGTAAGGGTGCTAGACATGGACTATTTTTATAGTAAGCATTTACAGTCAAATGTCAAGTGCAACACTCAATGAGACAAGGACATTAATAGGACAAAAAAAGACTATAAAGTCCTAAACAGTACAAAATGGCAGAATGATATCTCAATATTGAGATTTCACTGACACATAAAAAGGATCTGGTGAGTTAGACCACAGACTCAAAGATCACTCATCTGACATACTGACATGTGATATGCATTAGATACTTTCATAAGAATGAAATGCAATAGCTTTCTTTTCATGTTATACATTAAAATTCCCAGAATTTTATTTACATATTCAACAGGTGACTGAATCTTCTCTTATTTTGATTTCATGAAAATCTTCACTCTTTTATAATAACTGGATAGTTTGTGGACTCCAATACATGCCTATGATGATCTTGTGGATATGATGGCATAAATACCTTGTCAGATGACTTAGTCTACATAGTGTGAAGCACTTTATTATAAGCACACGCTGTTGAGAATTGTTCTACCAGTTAGCTAGAGACAAAGCTGTTAGATTTATTCTCCATTTCAGATGAACATGCTGTTGGCAGCTAAATCACATGAACTGGATTAATAAAAAAGAAAACACCTCAACTAAAGTCATGTGATGGTGAACACACCTTTAATCCCAGCACTAGGGAGGCAGAGGCAGGTGGGTCTCTATGTGTTTGAGGCCAGCCTGGTCTATGAATCAAGTTCCAGGACAGGCTTCAAAGCTACACAGAGAAACCCTGTCTCAAAACAAAACAAAACAAAAAACAAGCAAACAGAAAAAAATTGTTCTTTTGATCTTATTTTGGTCCTATTTAAATTCCATCCTTATTCCTAGGTCACTTCATGTATCTAGAGGCCACCCCAGTGGGCCTTCGAGGTGACAAAGCCCACTTGAAGAGTGCCATTTGGCAAGAATCCAGCACAGCCTGCACTATGAGCTTCTGGTACTTCATATCTAAAAAAGCCACAGGGGCCATTCAGATCCTCATTAAGGTAGGCTCTTGGTTAAGGACACTGCAGGGCTTTCTGAGGCTCCTGCAGGGAGGACAGAGTCCTGGCCTGGCCAAAGTAAACCTCATTCCTCTCAAGGAGCAGCTCCCGTGGCCACACACCCTATGAAGCTTGATTAGCTGTAACATGCGAACATGGAGTGCAGTGCCATGCCACAATCCCAGTGCCTCCTTTTATCAGAGTTAATCTAAGTTCTCTCATTTTACTGTTTCCTTTCTTGTCTTTTTCAATGAGACAAAAGAGGTCATTTGTACATTTGAAAGGAAAGCAACTATTCATTTTCTCTTTTTCATGTAATTATTGAGTACTAATAATAGACATTCTGGCTTCATGAATACATTACAAAGAACTAAGCTGCTCAAGAGTATGATAAAGGTATGATTACACTGAACTGCTTATTAAATGTGACATATGAATGCATTTCCTTCCTGGTTATTAATTGGATGTTTCCATCAGAGTTTTAATTTAGCATAATAAAGTGACAGAGTTTGGGGACAAAACAGCAAGGTAAATATTAATATTAACAAGACCTAATTAAAACACCTTTACTTTTTAATAAATTAAAGCAGCAGTTGAAAGGAAATGTGTGTGTGTGTGTGTGTGTGTGTGTGTGTGTGTGTGTGTGTGTGTGTTGTGTGATTTATGTGTTTTAAGAATCTAGTTATCATTCCAAGAAATCTTGGTTTAAAGCATGCTCTAGCAGCCACTGCTGTTTCTTAACACATGAGCTTTGCTCAAGTGCCCCAGTGCTGATAGAAAAGACCTGACCTGAATGTCAAAGACCTCATCTATCGGAATCGTTTACAACTCTGTGGCTCTTGTTTCGTTGTTGGAAACCTGAACAGACTTGGGAACTGTAGGCCATGCCAGAATGAGGTATAAAAAGCAGCCTAAGAGGACACATGCAGCAAATAACCACAGTGTTATTCTTATACTTGAATGTAGAAATTTATATGAAACTTAAAGTTCTCACAGGACCATTTTCTAGTACTCTTTTGAATGTGGTTCTGTATTATTTGGTGACTAGCGTGTGAAGGATTTGTCCTCTGTAACTTTTGCTTTTGATATTTACTTAACAGAAACTTACTTCCATCTATTTTACATTATAGGACAAAACTAAATAATATACTAAAATGAAATTCAAGCTTTTTAGAGGTATTGGTCTTCTTATAAAGTAATCTAGACCTCCTATGATTCCTCTAACTGTTTTCCATGGGTATTTAATAGTATTTTTAAAGACTGGTGTCTCAAAACAAATAAAATATACATATAGTCTTATTGAGCTGGACTATAGCGAGAAAGCCTGTGAAACTTTTATGAGCATGGCTGTGGCACTCATGAGCTCACAAGACTTAGCTGCTCAGAGCCTGTATAGGACTGAGCCCTTAAATATTCAGTCATTACTGGGAAAGACTCAGGATACTCCACCCCACCAAAGAGAGCTAAAGGAGGCTGGGGGATGTTGGGGGAGAGGACATTATTCTCTTTAATGATGTAGCCACTGGTAGATTATTCCTGCTCAAGTCCATCCCCATGCAAGTGGACACTGTTCATTCCAATTGGTCACAAACCTAATTTTAAAAGGTGTCAAAAGATATGAAAACAGAATGGGGTCTTAGTGGGAGGAGGGGTGAATTGGTAGGAATGGGAGGAGGATAAGAGAGAGTACAGGGAAGAATGCAATGAGAAGGCATTGCATACATGTCTCCGATTGTTAAAAAATTAATCAATGAACAAGATTTAAATCAAAAATACTTTAAGACATAATAAAGCTTCCACCCAAACTGAGGAGGGATTGTTAGGGAATTGGAGTTGTAACTCCATGCCTAAGCACTTGCCCAGAATGTGCAAGACCATGTATTTGACACTTGCATCTGAAATAAACAAATAAAAAACCATAAGCAAATAAATAGTACATACTTGTTTTGAGAAATTTCAAGGATGAAGGAGCAAAATCTTTCACAGAGTGTATTTAATTTATATTCAAAATTTGGGGAAATTGCCTCACTTTGGTGAATAATAAGATGAATGTTTTTGATCCTGTTTACAAAGTACTTCTTAGGCTTCCCTGTGTGTGGAACCATGCTGGAGTTTACCTTCTCCCTGAGTCTGAAAACCTGCTAGGCAGATGGCAAACTCAACAGGGGTAGGATTCGGAATTTTCTTTCTTTTCTCATTACAAAAACAATACTCCCAGTTCATGAGTTTATTCCCCTTTGGCTCAGTCTCCTCTTCTGAACCTCAGAAATAACACCCCTGCCCCGTAGTTTTGCTCCACACCAAGGCAATACAAGTAGGAGATAGAGAATTTTGAATAAAAGCTTCCTTACCACTTTTACTTCCCAAGGCTCCTCTCCTGAGTGTTCATCTGGACTCTAGAACTGATTCCTGCTCACTAGCTGGTGATTGGTGATTGTTCTCTTTCTACAAATAATTTGTCAGTTCTTGAGACCAAGCTATTAAAATTTGGGGGATTTGCTTGCCACCTAAGATATTCAGGGAGTGAATGATGAAGCAAAGGAATGCCTTTCTTGGTCATTGTTAAGGCTCATCACTGTGGCAGGAAGGGATAAGATATGTTTATGGCACTCAGAACTTATAATCTAAACCAGAAGTATAGATTTCAGTCAGACATAAACACATCTAACTTTATTGCACATTAATTTATTGGTGACACAGTGTACATGGTGTTGTACTTATTTCAGCTAACAGCAATGACAATGAGTACTAACATGAGTTATTCACTGAGCATTAACACCTGTATTGTTTCTAACAAGTCTTAGCATAACATTCTGAAACATGAAGTATGAGGCCTGGTGTAATAATGGGCTAAAGAAAGGAATTTCACAGTAATAACACAGCAATGGTATTCACCTTATTATTGTATTCATGGTGCAGGCATTTCAATATGGGCATGTCTATATTTTAAAAAAAGGTGTTCTACAAGAAGAATAGGAAATGGGAGTTTTATTTAACTGACTTTCATAATTTTTACAATATTCCTGTAATAATGAAGTAATACAGGGAAACCACAACACAGCTACTGTCTTAGAAAGCATTTAATGAATATCCATACCACTTTAGAGATAATATATCTTATACTTTTCCCTCATATTTCTTCCTACCAGTTACATGTAATTTGCCATGGAAACCATAATTTTTGTGTCTTATGCCAATGTGTGACTAACAATAATATGAAGAACTAGTCTACTCAGAAAATAATACCGATTATTATCTATGGTTACTAGTGTTGTGTTTAGATAGTAAAACAAACAAACAAACAAACAAACCTCTAAAATAATGTAAATATAACTTTGCAGGGGTATTAATGATGTTTAAAACAAAATTACATAGTGTTAAACAGTTAGACAGATGGAAAGATCATTAGCATTTTGTCCCTTACTGCTTGGCCCAAGACACATCCTTTGTGAGAGGGAGTCAGACTATGGAAAGTGGTAGAAATGTGTTTTTATACAGCCTTCATCTTTACTGAGTAAGGTCCATGGAATTAAATGCAAAGTCTAAAATCACAAGTAAGGGTATGATCAAGGGCTTGAAATCAGGTAATTTGAAATGACATTAGATTGTTCCATGATCAATTTGCTTTCTGGCTTTCCATCAAGGCTGTTAGACATGAAGTGCACAGCACATCTACAGTCAGTACACTATGGCCTTTCCTGGCTGTAGTAAATGATTCACCCTAAAAATGGTGTATTTCTATAACATCACTTATTCTGTGTGCCTTTTGAACCATTGACATTTGGTTTTAAATTCTCATTAATTTTAAATGCATTATTTTTTGACCCCTGAAAAATTTAAACAAAACATTTTTTAAAAGTACTCAGGAATACTATAAGAATATTTGTTGTTTGTTTGTTTGTTTAAGACAGGGTCTCCTGCATCAAAGGCCCCTTCAACTCATTATGTAGCTGGGGATAATTTTGAACTTATTGTTTCCTACCTCCACCTCCCAAGTGCTACTATTATGCTCAGTTATACAGTGATGGGGAGGGAATCCAAGGTCTCATGAATCTTAGGCAAACACACTACCAACAATACTATGTACCCATTCTAACAATAAATGGTATCATAAAAGCACAGTTGACAGCTCACAGGATCTGAAATCAGCTGTCAGGCTCCAGCACACCAAGAGACTGCCAAGGCCCCAGTACCAGTCTTGCCTCTATCCAGGAGAAAAGGACAGACATCAGAGTACTGGAACTGTTTGCATCTACCAGAAGGGAACCTTGGACCCATACCCACCAGGAGAGGAAGAGACTCCTGCTAAACCTACTGGAAGAAAGGATGGGAAGAAGACAATAAAAAAGCATATACAACAACAAGAAAACCAATATGATGTCACCAGAGACTAGGGACCATACACCATCAAGACCAACACATCACAATGCAGATGAAGCAGATGAAAATGACCTTAAAAACATATTCATGAAAATGATAAAGGGTCTCAAAGAGGATATGAGAAAATACCTTAAAGAAATGGAAGAACAAACAAAACAAAAAATACAAGATATCAACAAATCTTTCAAGGAAACACTTCAAGACCTAAAACCTGAAATAGAGACAATAAAGAAAGCACAATCTGAGGGACTACTGGAAATAGAAAAGCTAGATAAATGATCAGGAACTATAGATGTAAACATAACCAACAGAATACAAGACATGGAAGAGAGAATCTCAGGAGTTGAAGATACACTAGGAGAAATAGACTCATCAACCAAAGAAAATCTTAAGTCCAACAAGTCCACAACACAAAATATCCAGGAAATATGGGATACCGTGAAAAGACCAGAGCTAAGACTAATAGGTATAGAAGAAAGCAAAGAAATCCAACTCAAAGGAACAGAAAAGCTATTCAACAATATCATAGAAGAAAACTTTCCCAACCCAAAGAAAGATATGCCAATGAAAGTACAAGAAGCCTACAGAACACCAAATAGACTGGACCAAAAATAAAGGTCTCC